TTATCTACACCATCAGAAGAAAGTCATGGCCCAAGTTCAAGACATTTAACTCTCCTGTTACAGAAAATGGCTTTCTACACAGCCATTAGAAGGCATTCAATAACATGGATGAGAAAGCCATTCCACATTCGATTTAGCATCAAGCTTTCTGAGCAGGCTCCACTGGTGAATGTCATTAATAACTCTCTTAACACTTGTTAATTTGTTTTAACAAAGATCCTGGACTCTGTAGCTTTTGGCGGATATCCCTAGATAGGGTCTATGGTATATATTTTTCTTATACATTGTACAAATTTGTTTATTTTTATGTTTTACCATTTTTGTCTTTTTAATTTTTTTATTAGTTTTGAGAATTTCATACAATGTATTTTGATCATATTCAGGCTCCCTCCCCGAGTTCCTCACCGATCCACCCCCCTCCTTCCCCACCCATCCAACTTTGTCCTCTTTGTTGTTTTCCTTAAACATGTCATGTCCACTTTTTGCTGTCCATATGCTCTTAGGTGCATGGTCATCCATTAGAGCATGGTCAACCAACCCTGCCTCTGAGGTATATTATTTTTAATGTATTAATATTGACATTTTCAGGGGTTGGAGCAATGGCTCAGAGGTTAAGAGCACTGATGGGTCTTGTAGTAGAGGACCTAGGTTCAGTTCCCAGCACCCTCATGGCAGCTAAAAATGGTCCATAACCCCAATTCCAGGAGATCTGATGCCCTCTTCTGATCTCCACAGGCACTGCACAACAGCAGTGCACTTATATACATGTAGGCAATATACTCACACACATAAAATAAAAATAATAAACAAAAATAAAAAACATTAATGCTTTCAGTCTTTTATTATGGGAAGCTATATCGACTTACCACTTAGAGTACATGTGTAATTCTTTCTAGGCTAACCTTTCTTGGTATAAAAATGCATATTTTAATGAAATAATAAATATTATTTAATTATGGAATAAATATTCAACAACATAAGAGGTGTGTAGATGAAATCAAAACCGTTTAAATGGTACCAAACTGTCTGAAATTTAGAGAACATTGATTAAAGTAATTATCCACACAGCAAAAAGCACTTTTTTTCTATGTTTTCAGAAAGCCTATGACACGCTAACACGGTCAAGCCGGGCATTAATATTAAGTATTTAACTTGCCTATGCTTCCGCTTCCTCATAAGTAACACAGGGAAAATTTAAGTCGTCAAGTTGTAAGGTTAGTGGTATTTTGGGGGGCCTTAGCAGAGCACCTGTTATGAGTAGTCTCTCAGGAAGTGTGAGAGATCTCCAGCACTAGATCGCCCCTAACCACTTCTGTGTCAAGGGGTAGGGAAGAGCTGAATGTATGGTTTCTAAGGACTTCCTCGGGCTGGGTTTGGCCACTTGGAAGCCTCAGTAAGAAGCAGAATGAGAAGAAAGTGAGGTCAGATGTTTGCTCCCACCATGTCTCCTCTGCAAGGTCGCCCCCAACTTCGTTTATCCTGAAGCAAAAAAAAAAAAAAAAAAAAATCGAGGCAGGCTCTTTGAGGCACATTGGCGAGCACGGCCACATATCTCAATGCTAGTCTCAGGGTTAGAAAGTTTAACTAAAGCCTATGCTTTTGAAACTGTGATGCAATTTCTCTCAGTTCTAATGTTATTTCTTTAGTCCAAGCATAATTCCTCACATTGTTGAAAAGACAGATAGGCAGATGGGGCAATGTGGACTTCTGTCTGGAAAGCCATTGGGACAGTCATTCAATATCTTCATCACACCTCCATGTTTTTACCATGTTTTTATTTGGTCTAATTATAGAATATATTTTTAAATGCACAAGTTTATGTAAAAAAGGAAAAATTAATCTCTAACCATTACTACTTGCTAAATTCTCCTAGAGCATTATATACATAAAGATACATTTTATAGGATTGGGACTATACTGCATATTCATTCATTCTCCCATTCAATATGCATTAATAGCATCTTTCCTGCCCAAGATCCAGTAAAGAACAGGTAGACAAAGTTCATGTCCCAGAGTTGAAATCTTGTTTGGAAAAATGGGCAGGCTTAGAGTCCTGGCCCTCTGTCTACTGGCTTTAGGCACATCAGTTTTCTCAAGTGCAAACTAAAGACAGGATTCGCATGTGTTTCAGCACTATCGGGACTAAGTGAGTTAGCACAAGCAAACTCAGAATGATCCTTGGTATCTGACAAGTGCTCAGTAAACGTTCAGTATTGTTAACACTCAAGCAAATCTTAAAGTTTGACATAATTTTCTCCATGTTCTAATTGAAAGGGCTCACAGAATCCTATTCGCACTCCAGTAGCCTATTGGCATTTTGACAAGCCCGTTGCTGATTATAAGTACAAATAATGAAGAGCCCTGCCAAATACTTGGAATTATATGATAACTTTGGATCCTAACAAATATGTAACAGTGAAGGGCACAGCCTTTATTTTTCATATTCTTATCTCCCACAAGACTTTTCTGAAGACTGCACACTACTCAAACCATATTACTTGAATGCATGAATGAAATCACATACCCCATATTCACACTTTGGAAGACCTACCATTGTTAAAATGCCAAATTTTCCCCAATTAATCCTCAGATCCAAAACATTTCCAAGTCTGTGGGTGGAATAACAACCCTGCGAGATGCCCCCAGTTTCATCCTTAAAAGCTGTAACTATATCATGCTGCCAGCATCAGGAGATTAAGACTGCAGATAGAACTGAGATTGCGGAGCTAATTTTCAAACAGCAAGGCTCTGTGTTACTTGGATAAGCCCAGTGTAGCCATAAAGCCTCGAAAGTGGGGAAAGAAGTCAGAAGAGTCAGTGTCAAAGTAACACAACATGGAGAAGAAGACAGGCCATTGATGCTTGACCACGGGAAAGGTGGTGAGCAAGGAAGATGGGCAGCCTTCCCAGGAGTGAGAAAACAGGGTCTCCCTAGAGCCCACAGAGAAGCTGAGGGCCCTGCCAACACCTTCACTTTGCCTTTGGGACCCCTGCTTTGGATGTTTTGATCTACAAATCATAAGAATAAATGCTGCTTGAATAAGGGAAAATGAAATAAGGTGCCATATTGGACATGAAGAGATCACTGAGATTTGACAGTCAGTCCACACCTAATCACTATGCACAAACTGTCCTTATTAGAGTTGAAACAGCTCTAGATACTGTATTTGTTTGTTTTTACCTCTGCCTCATTCCAGAAATGATGTGAGACAGCTTACAAGGGTGCATAAAACTCAGGGTAGAAATAATTAGATATGAGAAGGAAAAAGGGGAAAGGGACAAATGTAGGAAACAAGGTAAGGATGGGGGTAACCCCTGCCCTACAGACTCGGAATGATCAAACACTGGCCCGGATATTATTAAGTCAAAGGGAAATGAGTGAGCAATAGCCACTAGATCAAAGATACTGGTTGCTCAGAAAATTTAGCCAATTTTCATTGTGAGACCTTCCAGAACATTCACCAAAGGGTCACACCTAACAAACACTAGGTCCAAACAGCATCTCCAGTATATAAGAGCTCCCCCAGAGCAGGCCATAGGGTCTTGATGAAAATCACTCAAGCAACCTGAGGGCTGGCCAATCCAGACAAGACCTACCAACCTACAAGGGAGGAAAGAAATAGGAACCCAATCCTCTGCTTGGGAGACTTACTTCTTAGGATAGAACAGCAGCCTTTTACTTGAGTTTCACATTTACATTTCCTTTCCAGTTCCATGCTTTTACTATTTTAGGTAAGCAAAAGCTAATGTTTTTACACTAGTTACATATCAATACAGTTAAGTAGAAAATTCGTCCCATCATTTTAAAATCATCTAAGTACAGGACTTTGACTCTGAACTGTCACCTCCCCCAAGAACATTTTATTGCATTTATTTATTTGTATGTGTGTGCTCACAGATGTGTGCACATGCACCACAACAAACATGTTGAAGTCAGAGGACAACTTGCACAAGTCAGTTCTTTCCTTCCACTATGTAAGTCCTAGGTCTCAAACTCAGATCACCAGGCTTGGCAATAAACACCCTCGCCTGTTAAGTCATCTCACTGGCCCTGGAAACATTTCTCTAAAATGACAACTCCTTGACATTGTAGACACTTTGTTTGGTGACAGTAAGGAAGCATCTTTTCTCTGCAGACATAACAGGTAGTTTCAGAGTCAGACAGACCTGGTTCTGTCACGTCTGTGTGTCATACTTCAGTTTCCACATATATCACTTTTTTCATCTTTAAACTGAGTTTCATAAATATTGCATAACATGCTTAGTATAAACATAATTTTATAGTAAACTCACCTGTAGTAAGCACAAAAATGTCACAGCTATCACTGTCCTCTACTTCATACAAGCCTAAAATAGATGGTTCCTATACTTGTAAAATTAACACATAGATGAATGAGTGAATATTGCCACCCAGGAGTCTTTATCAATGAGAAAGTATCTTTAAATGTTAGAAATCATCACATCATGACAATCGAGAACATGGACTCTGCTGGGCACGTGGGGTTTGGGAGGCAGAGGCAGAGGCAGGGGATCTCTGTGAGTTCAAGGCCAAGCTGGTCTGTGGAGAGTTCCAGGTCATCCAAGGCTACATAGTGAGACCCTGTTTCAGCAACAACAACAAAAACAACGTGGGCTCAATAGTTAGGATGCCATCACAATCTATAGAATCTCAGACAAGCTTTCAATCATTTTTTCACTTGGTTTGCCACACGCAAAATAGGGGTTCTGTGAGAACTATAAGACAAGCACTATAAAGTCTTTGGGGTGATACCCAAGACAGAGCAGGCTTTCGATAATTAACAGTATTATTGTCTATCTTGTGTGAGTATAAATACAGTGTCACAAAGCTTTATTATTTTTTTCAACATGTTTCTCTAGGTCCAAATGCTATGGGATCTTGTAATTTTTCAAAAGACAGTTTGAGTGGCTTCATAAACCAATGGACTTGTTTCTGGAACTCATGTCTCTTTTATTTTCCTATTTTATCTTTGTTTGTGCAGGACTTCATCGTGACTGTAGTCTTTTCATTCTTGTGGTTGGTGGGTTCATCAGCTTGGGCGAAAGGATTGTCTGATGTCAAAGTTGCAACAGATCCCAAGGAAGTCTTGTCACTGATGTCAGCTTGCAAGCAGCCGTCCAACAAATGTATGGCTGTCCACAGCCCCGTCATGTCCAGCTTGAACACGTCGGTGGTAAGTCTGTTTTCAACAAGTCTGTTCACCAACACTGTACCTCCCAAATCTTTGACTCTCAGTGAATAAGAAAAACACCTCCAAAGCCACAGTGGACATTTCTGCCTCCAAAACTGGCCCAGGCAAAATGGCGAAATTTCACTGCAGTAGCAAGATGATCTTTTGGCCGTCAAGATTTTCATTGTCCAGAGTCCACACACTGAGTACTGCTGATTACATAGTTTTCATAAAAACCCAGAAAATAGTAACAGTTGTGGCTTAGATGTCAAGTCAAAATTCCAAGCCAGAGTAGACATAAAACCTAAATGTTAAGCTAAAGCCTGCCGGAAGTTAAAAAGAATATGTGATAGCTCAGACATTTCCTGGGAGAAAAACATTATTAAAGCCACACATGGAATATACCAAACTGGCCATTGCTAAAGACTTCTGGGTGGCAATATTCACTCATTCATTTATTTTTTGATTTAGCAAGCATAGGCACTGTCTATTTTATGCTTGGTAGGATACAAAAGGAAATGCATGACTTGCAAAGGTACCTAAATAGTTACCATAATTGTGTGCCTTCTTTTGTAGTTTAGTTACCCGATAGCTTTAGAAAAGATGCCCTAAATTAGTTGAACAAAATCACATATTGTCATCAAGTGTATGGCTCTTGCGGGAAAGGAGAATGTTAACAGCAAGGATGTAAGCTGTATTCTTAATTCATAAGTGTAAGAAATTGTGTTATTCCAAAGAGAGAAGCTGTGTCTGAAACAGACACAAGCTAGAATGGAGGTGAAGAGAAACGTACTGGAAAACAGGAGGCTCGGGAGAGCAGCGTTCTTTAGCAAATCCTAATAATCATCTTTGCTCCAAAGTTAACCTGTGTCTCTGCAGCTTTCTGAAAATCAGTCAAGGAAGGCAGTTATGCAGAGGACAAGAGTTGCTGCCTGCTCCTGATGATCTTTCCACAAATCTGGCCTTGATGAAATAGTAACCATGGAAATAAACTATGCCTTAGGGCCTCACGATCATTCTTATGTGTTGCTGGCCAAGCTTAAGGATGACTACTCTGAACTGCATGTTAACATACGTAGCACTTGTTTCAGTTACTTGTTTATAGACAATGTTTAAGAAAAGGTAATTGTAACTTTGAACTCAAAATCTAAGGGACCAAATATCAAACCACCTGAAAGGTTTAACAATCAATTAAACATGCTGTTAGTCAATTGCTACTTTGATAATCAATCTCATAAAAAGTTCCACATTCTGCATGGTCTTTTCAGTTCTCCTCTGTTGTCTCTAATACATTTTGAGCTAGAAGAGAGGAGTTATAAAGAATGTGTCTCCCAAAACTAAATGAGGAATCAGCTGAAGCCAAATGATGAGTTATGGGAAAGGAGCAGTCCAGCCGGGCCATTGTACATCTATACCAGCCCAGGGTCTTCCAGTTCCTCAGAATGGATGAGTTTATTCAAATTGACCAAAGTAAAGCAATCCTCACCACTAACATCAGTTCTTTGGATCCTGTTTCTGGAGCCAGTGTCTGCATGCATTCAGATATTTGGATCACAAATGGAAGCTGACTCCAACTTCATGTAAATGACAGTTCTTGAAATGTTATCACGAACCTGCTGAGACTTGAAGACACATAAAAAGCAGCATCTAGGGTAGAACCAGGGATCCAGATGTCAGACCAAAGAAAGGTCTCTCTGAGTTGCCATGCAGGGGGAAGTTTTACCTAACTGCCCATTTTTCTGCTCAAGTGGTAAAGCTCCAGGACTGAAACTTCACTGCAAAGGAAATCAGTTTTGTATTTCTAACACTGGGAAATTAAATAAAAGGATATTAACCAACCACCACACTATTTTTAAAAGTACAATCACGCCTTCAAGTTGTACTAAGCTAATTTATGCAAAAACTGAAAATGACTAGAAAAACTCCAGAACGTTCTTTCCTAGAGTAGAATCCAGGGCTGTGAACCGGAAGATAGTTAAGAAACGAGGCCATCCACTTCTCCACCCCTCACTCTGCCTCTTTATGTATATTTCTGTCGAAAGAGAATGTCTGTTATGTTGTTTGCCTTTTCCAGAGAAAGTTTTGATTTTTTTCCTGCACACACAGTTTCTAAGTTTGCCTTTCCTTTCAAAGAAACAGCTTTGGCCAGTGAGCTGGCTCATTGGGGAAAGTGCTTGCTGCCCAAGGCTGGTGACCTGAGTCCAAACCCTAGAACTGTGTAAAGGAGGAAGGAGAGAATTGACTCCACAAAATTTTTCTCTGACTTCGACAGGCATACTATGGCATGTACCCCAAACGCACACATCATGTACACATATCATGCACACACACAAATAATAATAATAATCATAAGTAATTGTTTTTAGAAAAGGAAACTGCTTAAACGGAGTTTCACTCACTCGAGTCCACTTCCAAATGTCTGATAGAATCTCATTGGCTCATCTGGGGTCAGTTGTCCACCTCAGTCTCACTTAGCTATAGGCTAGGTGAGTTGTGTAGTCAAATATGCCTCACAGCACTCACCCTGATGAGCATATGCAAGTTTAAAAGAAGGGAACAAATACACACCACAACTAGTGGCTTCTACAAGCAAACAGGTCAGGAAATAACAATCGTATTTACTACCTTCGTAATAAAGTTACTTCCTGCAAAGCACTTTGGCATCTGTAATGTAACAGTAATACTGAAAGGTAAGCAAGATATCCAGATATTACACATGCAAGGAAGGGGGTTAAGGGTCATGAAAAATGTTTCCAGACTTAACTATAGCAGTGACTATTCTACTCAAAATGGCTAAAGGCACAGTTCTGGAGTGAGTCTTCCTGTGTAGGAATCCTGGCTCCACTATGCAACAGTTGACTGCCCTTAGGCACTCTCTAAAACTTTAGCTTCATCTTCTGTAAAATGTAGATAATTATATAGTAGGCCTCAAACTACTTAAAGAAGATAATCCATGAACAATACTTAACATGGGGTCTAGAGAGATGGCTCAGGGGTTAAGAACACTGGCTGTTCTTGCAAAGGACCTGGGTTCAGTTCCCAGCACACATATGGTGGCTAACAATCATCTTTAGCTCCAGTTCCATGGGATCTGATGTCCTCTTCTGGCCTCTGCAGGCACTGCATGACACAAGTATACTTACATACATGTAGGTGAACATATACACATAAAATAAAAATAAAGTTTAAAAATACTTAACATGGTGCCCAATCTGTGGAAAATGCTGAATAAAAACCAACTGAAAGCTTCTAGGATCATGTGTTTATTTTCCTAAATGTATAGTGCTAGAGTTCAAAGGAGTGTAGGGGGAAGAGAATTTTTAATATCTCGATTCAATCAAAGCTTCACTAAATATAACTGTTTTGCTCATAGTTTCACTTCTGCTTCTTGGCTTTGCTTGCCCATCTTTCTGTGCCCCCCATTTCTGAGACTGAATCAAAATTCTCTCCCAATTTCAGTTGCAACAAATGGCAAAATTCAAAGACTAGTATGTCCCTAAATGTGGTAGCCAAGAGAACTTCATGGTTCCTCCATGAAGAGGGCGACACGAAACCAGTGCTCCTTACACACCCAGACAGATGCCTTGTTTCTCTTCTTACTTTTAAGTTGAATCTTTAAAAAAAAAAAAAAAAACAGTGACAGCAAGAATAAAGGGAGAGATCTCAAGACACAGCAAACAGATAAGATTACATCCCTAGACAGAGCCATCCCTTCATGTCAGAGCATACCCTTTCATATTTTTCTATCCATATATGGGCATGTACTTACAAAGGTAGAATCAAATGAAGATGTCTGTTTTAATGAAAATTGTCATAGCTACTACACACATGGTATAACACCCTGTGTATAAATTTTGTTGGTCATTACCTAATTCATTTTGATTAAACAACTATTACACTTTGTTTATGTTTCACATCTTCGTCAGCCTAGGACATGGCACAAAATTGGCTGTAAATTAATGTTAAGGGAAGAAAAGAATTTGCAATAGGAAATGGAGAGGGAAAGTGGAAGAGTAAAAGAGAAGAAGGAGGAAGAGAGAAGGAAAAAGAGACAGAGACACAGGGGTGTCTTGATAAATCAGTTTTCTGTTGGGTCAGTTGAGCGCCTAGTACTCTGTTTTTGCTATGGTCATCTCTCAAGAATGAGGCCTCACTGCCAAGCCCCATGACAGTGACAGTCAGCTGAATGCAATGCATGGGATGGTGGTAGACAGCGAGTAGAGCAGGATCTGCCACTGAGTGTTTACTAAGGTGTCTAACTCTGTCTATTGACATCCACTTTATTATTTTATTTCCAACTTTCCCCCTTGGAAAGAACTATTACCTTCATTCCATAGAATGAAAAAAAGTGAGTTCTGGAGATAAAAGTACCTTAAGAGCAAACTAGTATAGTATACAGACCCATCTACTAAAGCCCATAGACTACTCCAAGACTGATATTTGACTTGTCACACCTGCTATGTTATGCTGTGACACACCTGCAGTTAAAATACTGAAGTATTTTAGTAATGTCCCTGATTCAAGCCCTCGAGACCCCGAAAAATAAGGACAACAGCACTCTTACCCTGCACACACACACACACAGACACACATAGACACACACAGACACACAGACACACACACACACACACGGCTCTGGCCATGACCTAAGTCCATTTTAACTGGCCAATGTCACATGGGAATGGCGACTATACATAGTCTAATATTATCACTGATTAGTATCATACTATTGTCATTTGTCTCTGAAACGATTGTTAAGACAAACTCTCTATGATTAATCACCTAGTCAACCAACCAGTCTTGGCAAACCCGAATAAGCCAAACACTGGGGAACTCCATCCTAAGCCCCTTGCCATTGTAAACAGTTTTGCTTCCATGAAGCACTTGGTCCTTGGGGAAGCAACACGGCCCTCTGACTTACCAGCTCTTGAAAAGAGTAATCTGCATAGGAAAGCCTCACACTGGGTTCTGAGAAGACACTTTATACCTCTCTGAAGCCTACACTTCATAGACTGGCTTCAGCACTCGTTTCTGAATGTGAGAAGCAAGTACAACTTTAGAGGCTCAACCTCTGTGTGTGTGCACATACATGTTTATCACCTGTACCACTGATTAGTCAATGCATCCATGAATCAATTCATCTGGATAAGGAACATTTCAGGCTCTAAAAAGATAGATGGTGACCTTATCAATTAATGCACCATTATTAAACTGAAACTACTCAGCCCTAAACTCCCTGAACATTACCTTATACACATTAGGAATGCCTCATTTGTGGACATGGTGATGGCTTAGGTAAGAGCTCAGACTCTGGAGGGGGACAGAAGAGAGTGGAACCACACATCTCTCCACATGAAGTCATGCGACCTTGGACTAAATTCTTGTCCTTGCTGAGCTTGTTTCCAGATTTTTCATCTAGACATATAATAATACTGCCCTCTTAGACTAAGGGATTCAACACATATAAAGCCCTTTATGTGGTGCCTGACATGTAGAAAACACTCAGCAGAGGCCAGGAATCCAAAGCCAAATGGTGTTTTCAAGTGAAAAATTTGAACAGACTTCAAAATTAAAGTGAAGAACTACATTTTGTATTGTGAAGAATTGCTGTGAAGCAGACTTTTCTGGGGTTTCTGTCTGGTTATTTAACCTCTTTGCTCTGGTTCTCCTGCAGGTCTTCGGATTTTTGAACTTTATCCTCTGGGCTGGAAACATTTGGTTTGTTTTCAAGGAGACGGGCTGGCATTCCTCGGGACAGAGATACCTTTCAGACCCCATGGAGAAGCACTCTAGCAGCTACAAGCAAGGCGGGTACAACCAAGACAGCTATGGGTCAAGTGGTGGGTACAGCCAGCAGGCGAGCTTGGGGCCATCCTCTGATGAGTTTGGCCAACAACCTAGTGGCCCCACTTCTTTTACCAACCAGATATAACAGAATAGTGTCCGTGTTCTTCTCCAGATAGCCTCAACACCTTCCATTTCAGTAGCAGAAGAATTTTTTAAGAGTTTCAATCAATTATTAATGCAGAGAGTGTTGAATGTAAATCAGAGCTCTGTGGCCCTCATTAAGCCAGAAAGGCCTGGGTCGTGATAAATGGTACTTAGAGATTAGATGCCATGAGGAGATACATTATTCATCACAGATGGGTAATTGGAAGGAACCTTGTTATATACACAGTACTTTTATGGTTGTTTTGTATGTGTGTTGAAATAGTGAAGCATTTTGTAGCTTAAAGTCTCTAGTATGTAATATGCATAAAGTAAATTAAATAGCATTAAGTTTCCCTATGCATTTTGATGCAAAAGTCAATTTAATGATTCCTGGAAGACCATTTGGTGTATAACAACATGCATGTATTATTATGTTTCGCTTTAGGTCCTGTAGGACTGTAAATCTCTGTTTTAGATAATTACTCTGTTTTTTTTTTTACTTGATGAAATGATGCTTATATGATTTAGTGCATGAATAAGCATTTTCTTACACAATAAACATTTGACTGCATTTATGAAGATTTTTCAGTTTGCATCATAAATTTGTTAAGCAAGTGTTTAAAGCAATGTATTCAATACTTTGTATACTTTGCAAGTTTGTTTCTCTGGCTAAGCCACCTTCTGAATGCTTATAGGTAAGGTTTGGAACTTTTCCCAATCTGCAGACAGTGTTCTGTATGATAACTGCCCAGTATTTGTCTGATTTACTTAACTAAATGTTCCATTCTTTAACTTTCTGTGGTGTTTTGTGGCTCTTATCCTGTGAACCATGAGTAATAAGGCCCAATAACTCTGTGTTTGTAAAGTGGTATTTTCTCAGAATACAGGAGATGTAGGCTTAGATCCCATAGTTTAAGTATTGTAGAAAGGGTACCCTGTAATCCTACATGACCAGCCAAGCATTTAAAATCCTATTTTGAAGCTAATCTGTACCTCAATCCAATTATTAGGACTCTCAAGTTACAATTTAACAGAATTACTAATTCTGATTTGAGTATAACCCATAAGTTAAAATTGGTTTCCCTGTGCCACTCTATCCCAAAAAGAGGGCTCTCATGAAATACTGAAGAGAATTCATCCCTTAGCAAGAAAATGTCTCTACGTTTTAATTCACCTGAAACAAAGGGCCCAACAGGAAGGGCATGCTAAGCATCCACATTTCTAGATAAAGTCGTTACTGATGTACAAACTCCTTGTGTGATCTGTGATACTGAAAGCAGTTTAGCACAAAATAGCCTGTGTCTTAAATGCTATCTGTAACCATTTTTTTTAATCTGTTGGATAAATCTGTATTGTGATATCTATTTGACTTCAATAAAGTTGTTGCATACAATCTGGCTAAGCAATGGGGAATCATACCAATGGGATCGCGTTGGCTTTAACAATGAGAAAACAAAGATTAAGTGCCGTGTTTCCAATACTGCTGCCTGCATCTCCTGCTCTCTGTCTGCCTTTGCTTCCCGAGCCCAGCATTGTGCATGCAGTCAACTTTTCACCCATCCTAACCTACTAGGCACTTATGACTGCTCAAATCTCATATCACTGCAGATAAAACAGTGAACAAAAGCAGAAATGGGGTCTACAATAAGAAGCCTATGCTCTGTTAGAAGAGACCTACTTAAAATAACCACACCCCATTTATGCTGTGTGTGTCAGAGGGCAGCACCAACTTCCACAAAAGCATCTATCAGAGATCTGAGCTACTCAGGGAGAGAAGTAAAAGGTCATCAGACCTGAACACCGAACAACTTTACAGGGACGGGGGAGAAGGGAGCATGCAGCAGGCAGACCAGAGCCTGGCAAGCAGGGGTGCCACAGCATAAAGAGTGGGAGTGTGGGGCTTCACGGAAGGTGTGGCTTCTGATGAGCACAGGGGTCAAACCTATTGGAGGCCATAATTACGAATTCTATATTTATTCTAAGGAAACTAAGGGAGTTTTTAAAACTGATGAATTTTTAGGCAGCGGAGGGACATGATGAGATTAGTATTTTGAAAAGCATTTTTAAAAGGATCTCAGAGGCTGCCCTGTGGGTAATAGGGTACAAGAGGACAGGAGATAAAGACTTCCTGGGCCAGAAGAAGTAAACTTTAACCCCTAAGCTCAAAGCGCCTCTGTTCCACAATAGACTGGATGATAGAGGATGACCACCATAAGCCTCTCCCGTCCCTGCCCTGTTTTCTGAGTTACTGGCTAGATTTGCTTACGTCCTTCAGCCCAGTCTGGGAGGAGAGAGTGGCATCTTCATACATAATCATGAACTCATCAAAGCTCATGTCCCACTGTGGAGCACTAGCCATCCAGGTCCAAAGCTCCTTGGAGCTCTGACAAATGTAAAATGTTCCCTGTCCTAGTTGAGATCGAGGCATGTTTTCACAGTCCACTGCAAGGTTACAGTAAAAAGATGTCTTAACCCAAGAGGGGTTTCACTGTGCAGCTTTATTCCTTTGGGTTTTAAGAAAAGAGAAACAGGAGCTAGAGAAATGGCTCTTCTCTTGCAGAAGACCCAGGTTCAATTTCCAGCACCCACACAAGAACCATCCTCAACTCCAGTTCTAGGGGAATCTTCTGACCTCCGTGGCATTGCACAACACTGGTGCACTCACATACATGCAAGGCAATACACTCATACACATAAAAATTTTAAATTAAAAAGAAAAGAAAAATAACACAAGTACCACTAAATGAACTCAGTGCATTATAGTGTCTATTGTATGTATTATGTGTATATGTACATATATTTATAAACATACACATATATATAAATGCATGTATATGTAATAATATAATCAAAGAGGACAAGAAACTGAGAGGGAGTCTGGGGACATGGGAGGAGCTGGTGGGGGACTGAAACGGGTGGGAATAATGCCAAAACAATGCTCTTGCTTGAAATTCTTAAAAATAAAAATGACATGGCCTGTAGAAAGAAAAATAAAAAGGAGTCAGTGCAGGAGGTAAACCTGGACCACTGTCCAATAGGTTGAATTCAGAATCTCAGCTTCACTGCTCACTGACTGCTTTCAAGGTATTCGTATTCATCCACTTACTCCATCTTTACTTCTGTGGCGAGGTACCACGCGCAGGTAGAAAGGGAGGGCTCCACTGACAATTACCTGGCTCCCCTTTCTTCCATCAATGTCTTCACCAAAGCCCTGTGACTTTTCCAAAGCCACAATCTCAAAGCACATGCTGTCTGGGGACCACATAGGGGGATATGGGAAGGTCGTCAGTAAACATGTTTGGGAAGACACTTAACTTGTTTTTTCAATTGCCCCATCTCTAACGTGAGGTCAAGAGTACTACTGACTCAGAAGACTGGTGTCAGAATGAAAGGTACGCCTTTCAAAGGAATTAGAGCAGCTCCCAGCACGTGTGGGCAACATCTAGATGTGGGACCCTGTAACCAGAGATAAGGGCTTAGGTATAAGCAACTTGTTTGAGGGATGATTCCAGGAGGCCAAGGTGAGGGCTGGGAGAATGTGACAGGGAGGAAGCAATAAAAGGGTAAGTCTGTGATGTTGCTGATGAAAGTGGAGTGGGGGTTGGGGGCGTACAACAACTCAGTTCCATCGGGATTTCAGAGTCGTGTTTAGAATGACTTTGGAGTTTTCCATCAAGAAACAGAAAGTGGGGCTGGAGTTACAGCTCAGTCAGTAAGCCATTGCATGAGGACCCAAGTTTGATTCCCAGAGTCCACATAAAAAGCAAGCATGGTGATACACATTTGTAATCCTACCACTAGGGAGGCAGAGACTGGAGGATCCCTGGACCTCTGTGGCTAGTCAATCTAGCCTAGTAGGAAAGTCCCAGGTCTCAGTAAGAGACTGTCTCAAAAAAACAAAATAGAAAAAAAAAATAAAAACTTAAAAAGCAAAAAACCCCACAAAAAAAAACCAAAAAATAAAAACAAGGTAGACCACTGCTGCTGAGAAATGACACATGAGGTTGTCCTCCACCCTCCACACACATCAAACTGAAATTTAAAAATCTGTTAAAATAAAAACAGTAAGTGGAGTTTTAATCCACCCATTGGCATCCCCCATTGGTGGAGTTTGCAAGAGAGATGGCCACTTTCCACCTCAGGTGCATCTGCCAGTAGATACTCCTGGGAATTTAGGCCACAAGCCAGAGACTTCTCATAACCCCATTCCCATTCCTGGGGCAGTAAACAAGGAAGGGTAGAAGAGCTCCGTAGAGGTGCCTGCATGATGGAGGTTACTGTCAACATGAGCTGGAACCATCCTTCAAGCTGTGGCTGACATCAAAGGCTCACCAAGGGAAAGTCACATAAGATCTCAAAATATCTACTATCCGATCATAAAACAGCACTGTTAGTACTCAGTCTATAAAACAGAACTACAAATAATCCTACCTCATAGGGTGGTGACAGGAATTGACCTGGTTGCATATGGAAAGGTGTAAAGGACCATAGGACACTCAGTTCCATGAGGAGATCGGTTATACAAAGTTGAATTAAGTAATGAAATTCTACTTCAAATTGATACAAGCCTGACCAAACTTTTCATTGTACCAAACTGAACAAAAGGAACCAGGGCAGGAGAGGGAGGTGTGAAATGGAGTTAGCTGAAGCTTCTTTGAGACCATGCTTTCAAGCTGAGGCAGGAAGAGGAATCAAGCTTTGGGGAACATTTCACGCAGAGGAGAATGTCCAGGAACCAAGATAGGGATCACTCAATGCCTTTAAATTCACAACAGCTAACAGCCATAACAAAAAGTCTAGTGGCGGGGATTGGGGGGCAGAAATGGAAGCCAAAAAGTCAGGAAGGGCAAGGTTATAAAAGGCCTTGAAGAACGTGACAAGGCAATCTTACTCTAAGAGAAGCAGGAGGCACAGGGCCCCAACCAGGACACAGTTCAGTTTTCCCTCTATCAGTTTCCTGGGTTTGACATTGCACTATAGTTGTGTAAGGTGTCAACACTAGGGGAAGCTGAGGTATTCTGCATTGTTTTTGCAATTTCTTCTTAATGGGATTGGTGATAACAGATTAATGCATCAATTCACTCAGTAGATATTTACTGAGCTTGTATGGGTGCCAAGCTCTGTTCCAGGGACCACACATATTGATTACAGACAGATTTTTCTCAAAGACAGTAGATGTTGTCCCTGTGCTTGTGAGTTTATAGCCTAGTGTTGGGCAGACAGGGTATATACAGAAAAAGAAACGAGATAAATTCTAATAACAATAAACATTGGAGGAGGAGAGCACAGCATGCATCCTCAGAAACTCTCAGATAATAGAGCGATTGCCAGCACTAACATGAGGGCCTCATTAGCTCTCAGCAACAACTCAGGCAGGCATTGGTCTAGGGAAACTGTAAATATTGGCAGAATAAGCCATTTATATGGACTACTTTGTGCTATACAAAAGTCATAACATCTTTGATGTCATTTGATCCATTCAACAACCCAGAAGGAGGTACATGCTACCTTCCCTATATGAAATAGAGGGTCTTAAACTGAATGCCCCCAGAGGGAGACCCTAAGGCAAGAATTCAAGGGCAAAGAAAGGCTTGGGAAGGAGAGCGAAAGAAAGGGAGAGATGTTGAGAAATCTTCTTTCAGGAGATTACTCTTGTGGCTGAGCTGCACCCGATGAGGGAACATGAAACTCAATGAAAATGTGTCAAGGGATCGTCACACCACCCTGTGCATGAGCTATGGCCAATGGAGAGAACTGCAGACAGGATCTCAGCTGTTTGCAGCTGGAAACCATCAACCCCAGAAGCACACAGTCGTCATGTCTGAGCAAATATGAATGGATCACTGATAGGGGTCTTCAATGACGTTCATCCTGTTAAATAGCTCAGTCAACTTGTTGTCACAAATGGTTGTTTTCCACTAACTACTTAGTTTATCCAGCGTATAAATTTGAATTTAGCCCCAATGTGCAATGTGCTCTTATATGTGTCCACATTTTAATAACATCTATAAAGTTGTAGTTAACAGTATTGAGTATGCACAGTATGCACGCTGCTGAGTCAAACAAGCCTTTGCATTTAATCACAGCACTGTGTAATTCTTCCTATGTTATAGTTTAAAGGACTGACGTTCAGAGCAGCTAGAGAACGGCAGCATCCTTGTGAGCACCTCCACTAATAAAAATAGCTCTTAATTACTACTATCTACTGCGTATCTGTTCTGCACAAAAACCATATTTAACACTCTGTATCCATTGTTCTATTTAATGCTCACAGGAAATACAAAATAAAATACTATTTTGTACCTACTGAGCAAATGAAAAGACTGATATTCATGAAGATGAGGTGACCTGTTAAAGGTCAGGTAGATGAGAGTACGCAGAGCCTAGGATGCAGAAACCCAAGTC